AAGAAACGTCACTGCAGATGGAAGACAGTCGTGGGATCTCAAAACTCTTCCAAGACCAGTTTCTTGTTGTCTGTTTGTTATGAAAGGTGGAAGAGAAGAAATGAGGCAGACTGCTTCAGGCTCCAAAGGAGGCACAGAGACTGAGGATTTCAGAGCAAGTCTCACTGCCTAGCTGTGCTCTAGGAAAATTCAGGGTAGTCTGGACCCAGCTCAAAGAAAAAACAGGTCATTTGCAGTGAATCCAGGGGCTCTATGCATTTGCATTACTTTTATATTTCCCTATCAAATCCCACCATCCATGAACATCCTGCTCAATGGGAGAGACTGCAGATCATGATCTTTTGCAGGCACTGCAAGTGTGGCGGTACCTACCAGGGGCCTGAAGGCCTTTGATGCATGAGCTAGTATACATCTTCTGTAGGAATCTTGTGCTGCCAGGTTTTTTAAAACAAAGTTAATATATGAGATCTGAAATAAATATTTACTGTTTTTTAATCTAACAATAAAGGGTTTCATCAAAAGTAAGATAAATTTAAGAGATCGGGATGACATCAGAGACCATAGTTTCAATTTATGAAATAACCGAAACTAGTATATGCACATGAGAAGTCTGTGGTTTTTAAGCAAGGAGTAACCACAGAAATCTGTGTACAAAGAAGAAGTAATAGTGGCAGACCATGAAACATGCTAGATCTGAATGTTTTGATAACATTCAAAGAGCAAATACATAATTCAGTTTAACTAATGAGTTTGCATGCAGCCTATGAGTACCTAATGGGTTGACACAACAAACGTAATTAGTTTGTAAGTTCCTGAGGGCAAGCACAGGTCCCTGCGATCTCACATTAGGAATAGCTGTACCAAAGGGAATTAGTCACAAGACCAGAGGGAATATGTAGATTATCTGCATGATCTTCTACCTACCTCAGGTCAGAGAACTCCCCTGACCTAATTCCCTCCCATTTGAACTAGAACATTTCTTTGAGAAAGAGGCATCTTAAATGCTGAAGAATCAGCCACAAATCTTAGCATGCTTCTCCAATTGCTTAATTATTTGCACTGTTAATTATTATTCTTTTTTTGCCCTGAGTCTAAATGTGCCAAGTCTCATCCTGCAGCCTTTTAATCTCATGAGGCTTTATTCTGAGAAGGGGAAGAGCCCTCTGTTGCCAAATGTCTTTTTCCCTGCTGAAGGCTAGGTCTAGGTATATGCAAGCTGTGTGCCTGCTCCTGTCTGGGAACCCAAACCCCTATTATCTACTTCAGCTGCAGGGGAAAGCCAGCAGGGTCATGGAGTGAGGGGTTGCATGGAGCTTTTCCTAGGCAAGGCTGAGAACCACAGCACAAGCGCATTACACTAGTGAGTAGGGCACTTGGCTGGCATGGGGAGGAACAAGTCCTGCTCCTGGAGTGACTTCATTCGGGGCTGTTTGATGTAGAACGTGTACATCAAAGTGAGAAGATCTGTGGGTGGTGTATGACAGTGTGTGGTGGAGGTGGTCTCAATGGGCATGTTGAGAGGACTCCAGGGACTGCAATCCTCTGCCTGGATTTGGGAGCCTGATCCAGTCTAGGCAGGAGCAAGCAGCAGGGATATGTGGCCAGGACATACACAGGAACAGACTGCAGGTTCTGGGGTGATCACTGCAGCCCAACAGAGAGGTGCCAAGTCAATGTAGTTGCCTCAAGGGTTAGGCAGTTGCTGAACAAATACCTTTCTAAATCTAAATGTTGATGGTGTAAGTCTCCTTACACACCTTCTGGGGCACCTAGATCTTTTTTCAGATCCAGCCTTGATTGACTTTGATTAGGTCACTGTCCTGATTTCAGCTAGGGCAGAGTTAATTCCTTCTCAGTAGCTGTTACAGTGCTGTGTTTTTGATTTGGAATGAGTATGGTGTCAATAACACACTGATGTTTTGGATTTTTGCTAAGTTGTGTTTATCCGAAGTCAAGGACTTTTTTTTTCTTGTCTCATGCTCTGCCAGTGAGAAGGTACACAAAAGAAACTGTGAGGGAGCATATCTCAGACAGGTGACCTGAACTGACCAAAGGGATAGAATAGAATGTCATGCCCAGTATATAAACTGGGGGAAATTACCTGAAATGGTGGCCAATCTGGACTTGGGAAGTGGGTGGTGAGCAATTGCACTGTGCATCACTTGGGTTTTTTTCCCTGTTTATTATCATTATTTACCATTATTATTTCATTTTACTTTATAATAAACTACTAAACTGCTCTTATCTCAACATACAAGTTTTACTTGGATTCTCCTCCCCATTCCACTGGGGTAGGGCGGGGGGAGAGAAGGAGGATTGAGTGAGCAGCTGTGTGGTGCTTCATCTTCAGCTTGATGTAAAAGCATTACAGCCACCCACATTAAGGGCTGTGTAAAAAGTACAAGCAATATTTCCAAACCAAAATCTTTCCTGTTTGTGGACCCAAGGATCTTGCTATTCCTTTTGTCACAGACTTACATGCTACATGTCACTCGCTAACCCCTACTGTTTGCTCCAGGACTTCTCAGTTTTACCTGTCTTCATCATAGTCACTGATGCTCCAAGTCTGACCTGCACGGTGTTACTCCCTGCAATCAGGATGACTGTGATTTGCAACACATGAGAAGTTAGTCCAGAAATGCTTGCCAGCATGTACACACATATGCCATGCAGGTGGCAGGTGCCTTGCAGCAAATTAGTGGGACTGTAAGTAGACTAAGGATTTTTTGTTCCAACCTTTGTGTCAGCTGCAAACTTCATCACTCAGGATTATATCTGGGCCATGGTTTAAAACAAAACAACACATTAAACAGTGTAAGACAACACCCAGTCCCTCTTAGGAAAAGAATTGCTTAAAGATAGTTCCTTTTTCAGTTATTTTAAGACTAGTGTGCCTGGTTTACACTAATGTGAATCAAATCGAGTTTATATTCTTCTACTTTTTAAATCAAAGTCATTTTCTAGCCAGCTGGTTGCTTACAGAAGCAACAAAATACTTTTATTTTAGCAGTAAAACTTGCCATCTTGTTTTAGAAATATGTTTGACACAATTACTTTCCTTAATCCCTTGTTGATTTGCAGTAATAACAATAACAACAACTACAATTATTATTATTATTATTACTACTACTACTAAACTTCTTTAATATTTTATTAATCAAACCCCTCTGTTTACTCTGTTCTCATTTCTCCTGGGAGCAAAGCCAAGCTGACAATCTATCACCATCAGGTTATCTGTTATACCTGCTTTTAATATTGGCAGAGAATTGATTTTGTACCCACCTATCTTCATACTTCAGCTATTCCAAAACTTAATAAAATTATAATTATTTTTCTTGTAAGTCTCTCTTAAAAGTATCAGATACAGAAGAGCCATACCTACCAATTTTAAAATCTACCAAGTTAAGAGATTCTGTTTACCACCCTCTCTGTTATTTTTGGAATGTACAGTATGTCATCAGCGCTCTGAGAAAGGCATACTTAATCCTACTCTTTACCCACTGTGTAACTGGATTATTTACTGAACATTTAAATATTTTCTGCATTTTTTTTTAAATTCTGCTATTTTACACTGATGAATAATCATCAGAGGATCAGAAATGGGTTCTAAAGGGTTATGAAATATCAGTATCATGAGTTAACCAGCAAAATATAATGAAAATTATTTAAAAGTCTTGAATTTAAAAACCAGAATAGCTTCAGTGCTTCCTTTTTACTTCTAGCTTTATGAATCTTAGATTTGTTCCTATGTTTTTCTCTACCAGCTGAGAGCTAGAAGTATAATTTTATTAATAAAAAGGTGGTGTTTTTATTTTAGTCATCTGACTTCAGAAGTTAGGGTTTTAAGAAAAGAGATCAACCATCAGGAAACTCATGATGACACATGAGAGCTGACAAATTTTCTACAGCATCACCAATGCTGTAAGATTAGTGACATTGAAAGGAGCAGTTAGTGACAATCAGTATCACTGGCAATGGTTAAAAATGGGAAAAACTGGTTTTCCTTTTAAAGTGCATCTGCAACCTTTAGAAAGCTGAAGGCCCTGGCATTCAGTCTGGTTGCCAAACTGGAAGCCTCCCACCTCCAGCCCCTCCTTTGACTGGTTGTTACAGGTTGTTCTGTGAGAAGTATTTGGACAAGGCTCTCAGGCACATGGTGTGATTCTTGGGGTGTCCTATGCAGGGCCAGGAGTGGAACTTCAATGATCCTTGTGGGTTGCTGGCAATTCAGGATATTCCATGATTCTATATTTCTATTATTTGCTCCCACTGTCTGTACTAGCTATTTACCCATACATTTTTATATATACAGATTTAGACGGGAAAATTTCTATTTAGTCTGCTTCCCAGAAAAGCTTCCTAGTCTCATCATTCATCTAAAAGATTTTACTTCTTTTGGGCAGGGAGCATCCCGAAAATCTCCTGCATCGGTTAACCGCATCTCTGCTGACCAAGCCCCAGAAGCCATGGGAGCAGGCCCCAAAAGCTCGCTTTGAGCTCCCTCTGCTGCCGACCATCCTGCAGAAGGCCTCTCCAGCACAGCCCTGGCCTCAGTAGCAGGAGCAACATTGTTGTACCGTGGGATGATCAGGGACTGCTTGTCACTTGGCTGTTGGAAGCGATGAGGTAGGCGTGAAGCCTCTGCAGAACACAGGGTAACACGCTGCATTCTGGAGGCTCTGATTCTGCAAAAACGTAAGTGCTCGATGCTGTGTGAAAACCCCAAGTGCTCAGTGTGATGCATCTGCACTGGATGGGAACAAGTGGTGCCACAGGCTGTGGGGGCCTGGCTGGCCCACAGCCCCTGCCAGACCTCAGCCAGCCCTATGCTGAGCGCAGCCCCACAAAGCTGCTGTGATGCAGGAAAGGCATTAAGAGGCATCAAACCACAGCAGCAAAGTTTACAAAACCCAAGTGGCCAGGGCTCAGAAGATGGAGGATGGCTCTGCTGGAGCGGGCTGGACGGAGTTTGGTGGGCCAGGGGCAGCATGGCCCCACACAGAATCAATTAGGTTGGAAAAGACTTCTGAGATCATCGAGTTCAACTTATGACCTAGCACCACCATGTCAACTATACCATGGCACTAAGTGCCACGATCAGTCTTTCCTTAAACACCTGCAGGGATGGTGACTCTACCACTTCCCTGGGCAGCCCATTCCACTCTTTAATCACACTTTCTCTGAAGAAATTCCTCCTCATGTCCAACCTGAACCTCCCCTCGCATAGCTTAAGGCTATGTCTTCTAGTCCTGTCACTAGTTACCTGGGAGAAGAGCCCCCCCCACCTGGCTACAACCTCCTTTTCAGGTAGTTGTAGAGAGCGATAAGGTCCCCTCTCAGCCTTCTTTTCTCATGGCTAAACATGCCAGCTCCCTCAGCTGCTCCTCACAGGACTTGCACTCCAGACCCTTCAGCAGCCTTGTTGCCCTTCTCTGGACATGCTCCAGCACTTCAATGTCCTTCCTGAATTGAGGGTCCCAGAACTGGACACAGTACTCCAGGTGTGACCTCACCAGTGCAGAGTACAATGTGACAATCACAGTCCTGCTGGCCACACTATTGCTGATACAGGCCAGGATGCCACTGGTCTCCTTGGCCACCTGGGCACACTGCTGGCTCATGTTCAGCCGCCGTCGACCAGCACCCCACAGGTCCTTTTCTGCTGGGCTGCTTTCCAGCCACTCTTCCCCCAACCTGTAGCGTTCCTGTTGAACCTCATACAACTGGCCTCGGCCCATCGACTCGGCCTCTCCAGATCCCTCTGCAGACCCTTCGTGCCTCCCACCAGACCAACGCTCCCACCCAAGTTGGTGTCGCCCGCGAACGTCCTCCGAGGGGGGGACCCCCGGGAGGACCCCTCTGCCCACCGGCGGGCGCTGCGCGGGCGGTGCGGTGGCGGTGGCGGCGGGGCCGTTGCCATGGCAGCAGGTGGGCCCGCCCGGTCCGGCCCAGGTGCAGCCGAGCGGCGCCGCCGGGACATTTACCCGCGGCCCGGGGAGCCCGGGGCGTGCTCGTGCTGCGCGGCTCGGCGGGTGAGCGGGGTGGCGGCCCGGCCGGGAGGCGGGAGGGCCGGGGTACAGCCCTCAGGAAGCTTAACGCAACTTTCCGCTGAGTCCGCGGGGCGCCGGGGGCGGGTGTCCGGGCTCGACTTTGAGCCCGGCGGCCGCGCTGAGGTGAAGTGGGGGCGGTAGGGGGACGGAGCTCCGGAGGGGTCTGTGTGAGCAGGGAGGGAGCTCCTGGACCCGCTCTTCGGGTTCAGCCTGCGCTTGCTGGAGCAGCCTGGGCCTGCAGCCATCCCAGAAGTGCTAGCTGGGGCTCAGAGCTTGAAGCTGGGAGAAATGTTTAGTCGTGAGGTAAAGATGCTGTTATCGTTGTGGAGTATTTCGTATGGTCAGAAAACCTTCACCACAGTGCTGAGTGCACTGACTCTCACTACTCTTATAGTTAAAGGTTGAGCTTTGTCAACTGTAGGGAGGAAGTAATTGAAAATTAGACTGAAGCTTCACTGCTAGTTACAGAAGTGTGAGGCTCCTATAGGATGCTGATGTTCACTGTTTCTTGTACTCGTCTCTCTAACTAGGTGTTCTTCTTTTAAGACCAGCGGGGCAACAACAGGCAAAATGACAGCTGTGAGGTATGAACAAGGGGCAGAGCCGACAGAAGCATCCGGGTGAGTGAAATGAACTGTGCCAGTGTGGGGGTTTGGGATTGAATATACCAATATTCAGTGTGTGGTCCCCTGTCTCTAGTTTCTTAGTGCTTCAAATATAACAAGGGGAATAATGATGCAGTGTTTGAAGTTCATATAGCCTTTTTATCTTCCCTCCCTTGCCAATGCTGTCGTCTGAAAGGAAGGATATCTTTGAGAAAAATATGCTGCTGTGATTGACTTCTTGTAAGTATTTAATAAGTGGCTAATGAATATCCACCCTTGGTATAATAAGCTCATGGCAGTAAAGTCTGCTCTTTTTTAGCATCCAGTCTGTCAAGAGACTTACCAGAGATTGTCAAGGTTTCTTGTAGAGCAAGATGTTCTTGCTCTGCTCTCTTTAAAGGCCTCAAGTCTGAAGTTACCTTTACCTGTGAGCAGTCAGAAAAGCTTATGCTCTATAGAGAGAGTATGTGTGTGAAGAAAATAATTTCTATTATGTCCTCCTTTTCTTCTCTCCCACCCCAGTAGTCAAGGGCTAACTGTAGCAGCTTGTGGCAGAGAGCTTGTTCTGGCTTAGAGAAGTAGATATAGAATGATCAGCAAAACAAACTCCCTCTGAGGAAAGCATTATCTAGAACTGAATTCTTGTGTGAGAGCACAATGGAAACACTGTACTTGGACATGGCTTTTGTTTTGTTGTGGGAAAAAATGTCTTCCTAACTGAAAACACTTCTGTTTCTTTTTCTTATTGTGGCTTATTTTATTCACAGTAGAGGATAAGAAGGTGGCATTTAGTGCATTTCATGTGTCCACAAGTATAAGCAAGTGACCTGCAGCAAAATTGCTGTAGCAACAGCAGTAACTGCTTTAATAAGTGAAGCATTTCTGCTGTTCAAAAAGTGTAAATGCCCAAGTGGATATTCCATAAGAATAGCTGGGAAACAAACCTGAACAGCTACACATCGCTAGAGCTTTGCTTCAGCTCTAAGGAGCAAAATGAGGACACTGGTGTCTGGAGATACTGGAGCTAAAAAATAAGGCATAAATACTGAAATTGTTGTGGTAGAATCATTCCTCTGTTGAGGCTTATACTTTGTGCAGGTGGCAAAACACCAGTGCTGGCTGCTGAAACTGTAGGAAAAGCATCATTAAACTTCCTGCTTGAAAGGTGGTTAGCCCAGACTGCAGAGGCAGTGGAGGATGAGGAATACTTGAATCCACACTAATGCTTCAGATATGCTAGGCTGCCTCGGAACAGTGTGGAAATATCAGTATTGAATATGTGTGCTTAGCTGTTCCTGCCCAAGAAGCAATGATGCCAGAGGCAGAGCCTCAGCAAACGCTGTGTCTGTCCTATTATGCACCACAGTATTTCTGTGGAAAAGGCTGAAATACAAACTTCTGGATTTGGATGTTAACGCTTTTTCTCTGAAGTTGTCATGTGGCCTTCAAAAAACAAAACCTTGATCTAAAGAGACCCTTTTAAGGAAGTTATGGCAAGCAGCCACTACCCTGAAAATATGCTGTTCTAGCACTAGCTCAGCTGCTACTCTCGTCTTCCAGTTTCCGGTTTGGTATCCTGCTCTGTACAAAAACATCTTTGTGCTATGGCTTTTCCTGGTGAAAACATTAATTCTCTGAACAAGAAGTTTACTGTAATAGCATTAGTGTCACTTGGACTCTCTGAAGCCATTTTTCATATGTACATTTCCGGCACTTCTAGAGCCTGGACTGTTAAGTCCTTAGTGGGCTCTTGAATGCCCTGCTTTAAAGCCCTTTATCCTACTGCTGAACACATCTGTCTCTTCTGGGGAGAAAAAGGGAAAACTTTTGAGAGATGGATTGCTAATGGGAAATAGGTCACTACAAGCCAAAGGATTCTGCTGTGTCAATATGGGGAAAGTCTTTCTTCCCCTGGTACTAGGCCTATACTCTGACTCAGGCTGTTGCTCACTGCCCAGGTGATGGTTAATTCTTTTCTCTGGAACAACAAATAGTAGCAATATATTGAGCTGACATCTGTATCACTGTGTGACTTGTGTTATTCCTTTACCAGCTCTCCGACAGTAGAAGAGCCCACAGTAAAGATTGATGATGGTTGTGAAGAGGATAACAAACCTGACAGCTGTTCCAAGTAAGCTAATGATATACTAAATTACTTGCTTACCTGCAAAAGTGGAATCTGCAGAACCAAAATAAGAAGGCAGATGGCTTGCTGAAGTAAAGATAAGCCCAGTAAAATACTTGATATAGATATTCGTTCTAGTACGTACTTAAGACAAGTAAGCTGAGGAAGCTTCTTTATGACCGTGGAGATGAAAACCCAACCCAAGAACCCAAGCTTGTCATATTATGGAGAATGGGCAGTCCAAATTGCATTGATTAAATTCTTGCAAAGGAATGAATTTCTGGGAGCACAGAAGAATAAGTGCTGGTGAGAAAATGAGGTGAATGAGTATCTGGAATAAACAATAAGCCTCATGGCCCTCATCAAGAGTAAATTGTCTAAACTTTCTCGTAGTTAACTCTGTTCTTGAAGTAGTTATTTTCTAACAGTGTTTAACTCATATCACCATGTTACTGACTCTTATAGCAAACTTTGTCAAGTCAGTTACAAGTCAATGGACTTGTTTCTCTGTTCCTGCAGTTCAAGAACAGCAAGACTAAGCCTTTTATCCTACTTATTCTATGTGACATGTTTTTCTAGATTTCTGGAGTTGACATTTACTAATGTATTTCACAAAAGCTTTAAGGTAAATATGTAAGCAAATGTGCCATGTTTTCTTCAATGGGTTTAACATGTTGGCAGGCAAAATTGGAGTTGTATGTATATATATTTCAGTCTGTAGTGTACCTAGTAGAGGTACTTGTCCATAGACTGTGGAAGCTGGAGTCTTGTTGTACCTGCTTCAGTTGCATTCTGAGTTGACTGGACAAAGATGTAGACCAACAAACAGTTAGTGTAATTATGGCAGTGTTTCCTTAGATATTTGGCATTCATAAATGCAAGGAAAACCTTCTATATGCTAAGCTGCTTCTAGGACAAGATATATTATAATATCCTTGACTTCTGTAAGAAAAGTGGGTACTACAACCAAGTAGCCTTCCTGCTTGAGGATGTACATGTTTGCTGCTTAGACCTTGCACCTTAATTTAAAATAAGAACGTAATAATGAAGAGTGTGGGTGAAATCAGTAACCCCAGCAAGATGCTGCCTCAGAACTTCAAAGGTATCTAGCTGTGTCTTAAACTGAGTTACTGAGATGTACCGAGTGAAATGCAATGCTGAAGTTATTCTAGAGGAAACAAGTATCATAGGCAGGATCACTGGGGTGCAATGTGCATTACTGAGCAGACAAAACCTTCTTGTAAAGTGCAAAAGAAATCTACCAG